AGTAAACAAATAAAGTCAAATAAAATAATTCTTTAAAAAGTTATTAAAAAAGAGTTCTGATCTATCTCAAAAAGTCCTTAATGCTCTTAACCACTACACCATATATGCATCAAGGTTGCCAAGTTCGTAATTTTTAAAATCTAACTTATCTCATTGCATTTTCCCTAAAACAGAATGAAGTACCAGCCCATTTTTTACCAAGAACAATATTGAGGTTTGAGAATTTTTGTAAATTTTATTTATTTAGTTGAGAGAGAGAGAGGCACTCTATTTTCATGCCACTATCTACCCCCGTTTCAGCCAGCCTGGATCAGGGGTATGTGCATATCCGGCATGTACAAGGAGATCTCGGAATGTGAAGCCAGACCTCCCCGGGGCAGTTCCGGTTGCATCACCACGGCCCGCCATCTGACCCAAACCACACGGCCCACAATTAGTAGAGCTGGGATTCAGATGCAGGCCTCCTCATCCTAATTGCTCTCTCTCCTGTTACCTAACTAGGATAGTTGAGCAAAACGACCTTGATATCAGGTTGAAGTAAAGAGCCAAGGCCATCTCCAACATTAAGACATGTCAGTCAAGCCACTAAATCAGATCGCTTCTTTAGTCGGCCCCTCTCTTGGTTCTCATTCAGAGAGCTCTGGCCTTAGCTCCAGTTCAGCCATTCTAAGCGAACTCCTGCCATCCAGGAGCATGCTTCACTGTGTCTCTGTTACATTGAGTGTAAGCCACTGTTTGCTTGAAGCTGATCCTGGCATGCCCCTATTTGTCCAACTGGAACCCTGGAAGCCCACTATCCTCCTTAGAGGTTCTGCCTAATAGATGGTCACCTATGCTTCACCTCCTCCCCTCCCTTCCCACAATCAGACGACCTGAGAAGCAGCACAGAAAAGATATTGGAGACAAGACCTAGCTGTTGGGACCAGCAGTTAGCATAATGGCTATGTTGTTGGACTCCCACGTAGACAACCGCGGTTTGCGTCCTGGACCCGGTGGCTTAAAACTTACACTGGGCGCGTGTGCGTGCATGCCCACGATCCCGAGAGGAGAATGGAGGAGACGGGATTGCGGCGTGGCCATCCCCCCAGGGGGGGTGATTTCTGTCTCTCTGTCTCTCTGTCTCTCTCTCTCTGTCTGGCGAGCGCACGCGCCCCATAGCAAAAAAAAAAAAAAAAAGATTCTAGCTGTAACTAGCAATAGCTATGTCATCATGGGGCAAGTCTTTTTTTTTTTTTTTTTTCTTTTTTTTTTGAGAGGTTTTTGCTATAGGGCGCATGCGCTTGCCAGACAGAGAGACAGAAATGAGAAATCACCCCCAGGGGGATGGCCACGCCACAATCCCTTTTCCTCCAATCTCTCGGGATCCTGGGCATGCACACACATGCGCACGGTGTGAGTTTTAAGCCACCAGGTCTGCACACGAACCGCGGTCGACTACATGGGAGTCCAGCAACATAGCCATTACGCTAACTGCTGGTCCTGTGGCAAGACTTTAATCTCAGACTTTGAGCTTCCTCCTCCATAAAATTAGTACTCCATTTCCTACTGCTCATAACTGTTACGTGGTTAGAAGAGGCAACATAGATAAAATACCAAGCACAAAGCAGGTGCACAATAAATAATATTTTTATGCAACACACCTGTGCAGGAACCAAAGTCACATGCCTGAGAAGTAAGTTTCCAACACACTTTAGTTTCGGAAAGTAGCTGCCATAATCACAAGTGCCTCCCAGGCAGTGGCTTCTCACTGCGTTTAACCTGCTAGGCAAGCCCACGACACCGGTCTCTTGCTGTACCTCCCCACCTTCCTTCTTTCCCCCTCACCGCTGTCTTGATCCCCCAGGCTGTCATGGACAACGTCCCACTTCGCTGATGGCATTGCTTTCCATGCTCTAGCTACAGACCAACTTGTTCGCAGACTGCCCTGGGAAGTGCAGGGCCCTGTGGGCCAGTAGGTAAGTGACCGGGTCACAGCTTGGCCATGCGACTTTGGGGAAGATTGGCTCTCACCATTTCTGAGAACCGACTCCATGGGAGGAGTCTCTGCCGTCTCTCTCCTTCTGTTTGTGATACTCCATGCCAACACCCCCATCAGTGGACGTGATCCTCTCAGAGCGAGTAATATTTGTCTCTTTAAAGAAGGTGACTTGCAGATAGGATGGTTTCTTATATCTGTTTCCTCCTCACTGTAATGGTGCTGGCTGATTCATCCCAGAGGGGTCTCTGAATTAAATTTCAAACCTTAGAACACACTGCCCTGTCCTGTCTGCACATGGCTGAGTGCCATAGCCTTTGCCCACAGAGTCTCTCCTTGTTCTTAACTAAAACCGGAGCAGTTAATGACCATCACATCCCGTCGCATTTCCTTTTCATATTCTTGAGGACTTAATACCATGCTGAGCACATAGTAGGGGCTCAAAATGAAATCCAGTTTTAATGAACAACGGCGGCCTCTGAGTGCTTGTCAGTGGGCAGCAGGCACAGCGAGCGCTGGCCTCTTTGCCCTTCTCGTCCCTTCAGCTATCTCCGAGGACAGAAGGAGCAGGCACCCTGCGCTGAGAGGCACATCATTATTTTTCCTAAACGAGAACATTTCCAGGCCATGGGCTGATAACCGAATAGTGTTAACAGAGTCTCAGAGTTATCTGATTCCTGGAGGAAGAGAGGGGGCGGCTGTCCTGACTCAGAAACATCAAGTGAGGAGAGTATTCCTATCCCGCTGCCTCTCTGGAAGGCCCTACCTGGGAGCCCTCCCCAGACTGCTCTTGGCCTGGGCCAGTGGTGGTAGGAGCCTCACCCCTCCAATCACACCTGGCACTTTGCTAATAGAATGGTACTAGGTGCGTGGGGAGAGACCGGGTGCACCCGAGTAACTGTATTCCACTCTGATCTGTACAGATTCTGGTTGGCAGCAGGATCTGCTCTGAATTCAAGAGAGCTGGAGCCACGGCCTGGGGCTGGAGCAATGATTTCTTGCACTTTGTACCTTCCATGTGATTGGTTGGGGTTGTACCAAAAATGAATGGCCAGTAGCACTAGGACCCTGATGCCTCATCCATGGTAAACCCACATGGACATTCCCCTAGCCAAGAGTCTTCATGCCTATATTCACAATGATGAAATTTACATCCCCTGATCAGTGCACACAGGGCCTACCCTCCCAGCACCTACCCCTCCTCCCACAGCTAGTCATGCCACTCCTGTTGGTCCTGAATTCTACCACTGCTGGCACCACCCCTTCCTCCCGCGGTCCATGCTTCAATCACACGCCCCCATGAGGACACAGACGTGTATATGCAGTTTGCAAACAGCATCCTCCTGGGTCAGAGACAGTCCTTAGCATTTCTTCTCACTCACAAAATTCCCGGGCAGCCTTGAAAACTTGCTGGAGCCTCTGTGGACCCTCTCACTGCTTCATCTCTGAGATGAGTATGATCAAAGCAATGTCTTAAGTGAGTGTGATATGCTGCTGAAGGGGTGTTCTGTGTATTTCCAAGTACCATGCCCTTAGGAAGCCTGCTATAAATCCTTCTACTCACTCCAGGGAGATGGTGGTTTAGACAAGCTTAATGGGTTCTGAAGACGAGGGCATCTTCTCTGTTGTCTCTGCACAGTCTGGGGTGGGGTGTGGGCCATGCCAAGGTCAGAGCAGGATGGAGCTGCTGAAGCTTTACTGAGATGACTCACTTCTCAGATAATGCTCCAGAGAAAAATGCAGGCTTCCTCTTGCCCTTTTTCTAGCTTGGGCACACCTCTTAGGATGAAAGGCTTTGGCAGCGGGAAAGGAATGTCAGGTCATGTCAGGAAGATATATCCCTGAGTCTGGGCTTTTCCTTTTGAGCTCAGAAAGAATTGGGCAGAAAAAATAACGATAATAATAAATAAATGACCCGTGCTTTCACTAAAACTGACCTCCAAGTCCATACTTATGGTGAGTGGGAACTTGTACAGAGGTCTCATTTCCTCTGGGCCTATTTCCTCCTCTTTGAATCTGCCATAGCGATTCCCCCTTCCTGGGCTTGCTTGGGGAAATATCAGTGAGCCTGTACGTGTAGGAGAGGATCAATAATGTCCATGATTCTCCTGTTCCTTAAGGAGAAATTATGTTACGAAACAAGAGAGGTTTTTGTTGTTGTTGTTTTTTGCTTTTTTTTATATTTTCTCTGTTACCCAAATAAATGTTTTACTTTCACTAAGAAAAAAAAATGTGTTTAATTCTGTAAAAGACTGAGTAAATGAAAAATGCTTGAGAAAAGTGAGGTTGGGGGATTTAAGGGACCACCTCCAACATTCTGGCTGTTCCAGGCAGAAGTCAAACTAACCTTGGGACATTAGCCTCTAAATGCAGCTACAGGGGGTTCCCCATGCACTACCCTCCAAATCGCCCTTTTTACTTCTTAATTTGAACAGTTGGGAGTTAACGTTTTCTTCCTATTTAGGACTCCAAATTCAGAGTTGATTTTGAAACATACACACATTGTCTCTATACATACGTAAAGACATGTCTACAAATGCATATGGACCTTTCATAAAATAGATAAGCAGACTCCCGGGGTAAGCAAAAGACCACCCTTCTCACAAAATCTGCATGGTGGAGACAGATTTGGCAGTTTCTTTGTTTCCTACTCTAAGTGGCTTTCCAGAAGTCGACCCCCACCTGGAGCCAAGGGCACAGCCCCAAGGTCACCCTAAAGGTCAAGGGTTTACTCTCTGGTATTGGGGGTTTCCCTCATGGCTGGCTGAGGTCAGAAGAATATGCAAATATTCTTTGAGAAAAAGATGGATTGAAAGAACCTCTTACCCATTATTAACTTCTTCTCTATCCTTAATATTGCTTTATCGGTTTGAGCTTAAGTGGGGTTAAAATCCACATGTAGGCTGAGGTCGGGTGAACCTAGCTGCCTCCAAGAATAATAGGGAAGCCCAGGAAGACAAATCTTACAGCAAGTGAAAAAGAAATTAATGACCACAGAACAGTAAAAATTAAAAAGAGCAATGCAGAAAGGAAAGGGGGAGGAGAGAACCATTATAACCATGAACATTTTTTTTTTAAATAACAAAGGAACCTCCATTCTGCAAAGTCTTCAATGAGTGCTACACAGACAGCTCTTCTGAGTTGGGGGCAAGTTAATTATATTCAAAAAAAGACAGTGTCTCCAAAAAAATCTTTTTTTTTTTTTTTTGCAGTGAAATAGCTTAGTTCCTTCATATAGAGACATATTACACAATGTTAACAACCATGAAAAACAATACAAAATGCCCTCCATTTAACAAGTAGAAAAATATAACTAGTATATATGGCAATTGTGAATCTAATACTGTACAGAAGTACTTTATGGATTTTACAAATAAATTATAGCTTCAATGCCCTTTTAAAATTCTTTTTCCCCCTAGATGTACACGCAAACGTATAGTAAGACAGTTTTCAAGCCGAGCTGATTGCAGATCAGTGCCAGTCAAATGTCCTGCCCACCAGCTCGAAGAATTTCTTATTTGGCTCATGAAAATATTCGTGCAGTTTATGGAGTAGTTTGGGATCGACTTGGGGGTGTGCCCGGCCTTTGGACTCGTGCAAACAGCGGTCCCGACCACTGTCCCTCAGGCAGTAAAAGCCCTTGGTTTTGTTAAAGTAGAAGTTCGAGGCGTTGATCTGCGGTGACAGCTTCAGGAACCTCTCCACCTTTTGGATCTCAGGAAAGGGGTCCCTGATGAGGCGGTCGCCGTCCACGATGTGAATGTGGCGTAGCGGGAAGAAGCGCAGCCAATTCTGCATGTGCACGTGGTACAGGCTGCGGTTGAGGGCCTTGTAGCCCACGTTGAGCCGACCGTCTCGCACCAGGAACTCCTCGATGGACGGGTAGGGCTTGCGCTTTTGCATGTGGTTGTAGAACACTTGGGTGTAGTCGGACAGCACGCGCTCCGACGGGTCTCGCAGGATCAGCAGCAGCCGGATGGACGGGTTCATGCTGTGAACTCTCTCAGGCACTTTGGGCGACGTGAAGTACGCGGGGGTTTTCTCCACCGTGAGCTGATGTGGGAAGGAGAAGGGCATTTGGCTCAGGTACCAGCTCAGGCCGTGGCTGTAATGCTCCTCCCAGTCGAAGAAGTGGACCTCGTTCTCCGCGGCCGCCACGTCGGGGTGCAGGCTGAGCATCTCCAGCAGCGCCCGGGTGCCGCCCTTGCGCACCCCGATGATGATGGTCTGCGGCAACTGCTGCGCGGAGCCGTTGGGGGCCGTGCCTTCTCTCACGTCGTCCAGGAAGGTCCCCGCTTTCCGCAGAAGCTCCTGCTGGCCCGGCTCGGCTCCGAAGGCGGCGGGGCGGGAAGGCACTAGCTGGGGCTGGGCCAGCAGCAGCTCCACGCCCAGGAGCAGGGCGGCCATGCTGACACCACGGAGGTTTCACTGGGCCGCGTGCGGTTGGGTCATGAAGCGCTGCGCAGGGAACGCCTCCCCGTCAGTGGCACATGGGTGTGGCAGGCCGCCGATTACTACGGAACAAAACAAACACAGAGGTAACCCAACTGCCCCCTGCAGTAGCCAGTGCAGCGTCCACCTCCCTGGGATGCTCGCGGCTTCTTGATCCTACTAAGCAGGAGGTGTGAACACTTCCAGGAGGGCCAGAATGTCAATATGTTAGGCTCTGTGGGACGTGGCATCTCTTTGGCACTCCGACCCTTATATTCTGTCATAGAACTAAAGCAACCACGGATAATACACAAAGGAATGGGTGTCGTCTTATTGTAATAAAATTTTATCTATGGAAACAAAATTTGAATTTCCTATCATTTTCATGTATCATTAAATAGTACTCTCCTTTCTTTTCAACATTAACGTGTTTAGCTCTCTGACTACCCCAAAACAGGGACAAGTGTCACCCACCAGCCATAATTCAGGAACCTTTGCTATAAAGGAAAGGGTTGAAAAGTCCTTTGGACCTTAGCAAAGGTGAGCCACATAGCTCTTGCCACAGGGCCCTGGCAGGACAGGTGACATGGGAACAGGCTTGTTTTTCTGGCCATCAGACTACCCTACCAAGGGCTCCTAATCGAATAGGGTGTGTCAAATTATTATATAAGGAAGGCTAAATTAGTCTCATTCTTTACCTTGCAGCCAACCCTTACCACGACCTCACTGAGGGGAGTGTGCTGCCTAGCAAAGCGGTTTGGCTTTGGCTAGTGGTGCGTGGGTAGACACAGCCCAACATCAGGAAGCCGGTGTGTTCCCACTTGCCCTCTTGTACTGTTGCCATCAGCATGAGGGCATGCCCTGGCCAGCTGCTGGTCCCAGGGAGGAGGAGAGGTACGTGCAGCACAGCTGCACCCCCAAGGCCACCACATCGCACGACCATCCCGGACCAAGAGCCAGAGTGCACAACTGCAGCTTTAAGGCACTGAGTGGTTTGTCTCGGGGCGTGCATTTGCCAAGGGTTAGCAGATGCAACCTGACTGCAGGCATCAGGGTGTGGCATGTTTTGACTGTAGTTTAGGGAGGGTATTATGAAGATGAATGGTCATTAAAACTGCTTGAACGATTAGGGATGGCATCACTGTGGAGGGAATGGTTGAAGCAGACCTAGAGGGACAAATGGGTGAGGTTACTAAAGAGCCAAAGGCCTTCCCAGGTACAAAGTGCTACTATGTATAAAGCAGCACTGCAGTCAGTCTCTTGAACATCCCCACAACCCCATGGCGTAAGGTAAAGAGGCAAGACAGGCATCGCCACTGTTTTAGAGATGAAAGCCTTGTTTGTAAAGACACAGCACTTCATTTCAAAATGCAGAGCTCAAACTGAGAAACGAATTCAGGGATCCCTTGCCGTAAACTTCCTCCTTCTACCAACTGTCTCCTCTTTACCTGTCTGAGATGGATCCTATTTAGATTACAGAGCCCCTCGAAGGCACGGACACTGCTGGCTTAGGCGCTACGAGGTGCCAAACATGGGAGTCAGGGTTCGTGTTTTCAAGGAGCTGATACACAAGCTATGTTTGACATTTCCCCAAAGAGGAGACTGGACACTCTCAGTGAAGTTATCCCCATTTCCACTCACTAAGGGAAGGGCTAGACACAGGCCTGGCTTGGGGACTATGGGACTTACAGACAGTAAAAATGTTCCCCATCAAGAGGAAACATCATCCTCTTTTTAGTAGATTTAAAATTCACTTCATCAGTTTAAAACTTGCCCAGAATGTGCAACAAAAGAATGAAATCCAGGGCTTCCTTCCTTATGATCAAATCAATACATATTTGAGAGAGGTAGCTCTCTCAATTATTAGTTGTGGTAGCTGCTCTGAAAACTGCACATTAAAGAGTACACGATTAGAGAGCCACCGAACACTGGAGAGAGGAATGGAGAGATCAATGATGTAACTCTTCAGAAAAAAAAAACGAAAACAAAAACGTTTAGGGGCCGGTAGGTGGCATGGTGGTTAAGGGTGCTGGATTCCCACATGGCCGACTGTGGTTCGAGTCCTGGACCTGGCAGTTTGCTTTCTCACTTTCCTTTTCTCTCTCTCTGTCTGTCTCTCTCTCTGTCCCTCTCTGGTCAAATTTAAATAAATAAATAAATAAAGTTAAATAAAATAATTCTTTAAAAAAAAACGTTTGGGGAGGGATGGATAAGCAAGGTAGGTTTCAGGTTGGTTCTACTGATTGGATGAGCTCAATTTAACAGATCATTTGCTTTATCAACTCAAAGTTTCAGTATGCTTCAGTCAAATTTCATTTCCTCCTCAATTACCCATGTGGGTCAACCAAATGGACTGGTTTTGCTTGCCTAGTTTTGCTTGCCTTTTACGTTTGGGTGTGACTGTGTGTGCGTGTGGCAGGGGTAGACAGGTAAAGCGAGGCAGGGAGTAACATCTACACACTAGAGAGCTCCACTCTGCGTGCCGGCCATCTCTCTGTCTCATGGCTCTGAATTCAGGCTCAGGAAACAAGAGGTGGAGGCCGCTCAGGTCTCAGGGATAGAGGCAGAGGCCAGATATGGAAAGCATATTGCCTGACTGTCCGCTCTCCCCCCTCGCTAACCTGAGGGACCCTGGTTAGCACATTGCACATCTGAATGCTTTTCCTAAAGGGGAATTACCAGAAGAAAGCAGACAAGAGACTAAATACAGTTTGTCCTTTACAAAAGAAGGAAAAAATATATACTGGGCAGTTAGTGGTTTAAAAGCTCTTTGTTTCTACTTTAATACTTTCTAAAAATGTATTTACTTACATCTAGATCTTTTTCTTCATTCCAAAGTTATTTGAGGTATATGGAAAATTAGCTGAAGACTTACATATATACATTATATGTATATATATGTAATATATATACACATATACATACACATATATACCTATATATATACACACACACATACACATATATACCTATATATACACACACATAAGCATACACATATATACCTATATATATACACACACATACATACACATATATACCTACACACACATATAAAATGTATATATTTAGATACATCTCTCTGTAAATACATGACATGTACAGGTTGGTAGGTAGATAGATCTATAGATATGCAGAGAAAGAGACTTGGAACATTCATGGGAACGTAATTATCAGTTTATGTTCTAGCACTGGAGCACAGAGGTAACACAGTAGCCCTGTGGTGCTGGGAGCCATATAGGATCACAGGTTGTCCTGAAAATCATGCTGGGCACAGGCGTGGGCTCTCAGGATCCTGGGGAGCTGAAAGTCTGGGGAAAGGGAACTGTGGTGTGGAGAGGCCCTGCCGAGGTTGCTGTCTTCCTCTCTCTCCTGAGTGCTCACACGTGTTCTATCATAAAAGGGAGGAAAAGTTGAGTTTGCTTCAGTCCAAGCAAATTTTTATATCAATACATTGGTTTTTTACATTATACATTTTCCATAAATGTTTGAGGACTCCCTGTGCTATACATATCGGGTTGCCGGAAACGTCATGGCACATTTTCGCACAGAAAAGCACGTTGTGACTTTTCCAACAACCCAACAGAACGTCTATAAGATTGTGTGTATGTCTACACAAACACATTTATATAGACATACACACATTCACACGCATATCTAAACATAGGTTATGACCCATGACCTATCTTACACATGCATAATTTCCATTGGGATCCAACTTCCTTTTGCTATGGCTTGAAAATTTGGACTTCCCAGTGGCATACCCAGACTTTCTTGGCCTTTTAGTAACACTCTCAGAAAAGACCCTTAAGCAACGGTGAACTTTATGTCCGACTCCTGGACCACACTGATCTCAGTAATGGAATTCTAAGCATCAGAGCAGGAGAGAGTCCTTTAGTCCCTGCCTTTTATTTTACTGGTGCGGAAACATTCAGATGACTTGCCAAAGTCACACAGAACAGGAGTCCCCAACTCCTGGGTGGTGGACCGGTGCTGGTCAAGTGGCCTGTTGGGGGCCAGGCCACAAACTGCTGTCAGTCCACTGGGCTGCAAAGCAGGGGGTGGGCAGAGGGCAAACAGGATTTGTGGGTGTTGCAGCCACTCCCCACAGCTAGCATTGCCACTCAGCTCTGCCTTCTGTTGGATTAACAGTTTTGGATTCTCATGGAAGCACAAACCCGACTGCTGTGTGATTGCTTCCCTATAGAGAGCAGTGACGTAGTGGTGGGAATGGAGTGCCCAGTGGGGATAGTGCACTTGCGTGGCTCTGGGGCCAACCTTCCCTCTCCACTTCCCCTCTGTGGAGGGGCTGTCTCCCAGCACCCTGGGCCCTGGTGCTGGGAAGGTTGGGGACTAATGACATAGAGAGTCTTGGCCTGGAACTTTGGCTCCTGAACGCCACTCCTATATTCCAGCTTTGAGTATTACTGTCTCCCAAGCAAGTGGACTTAATGTAAAATAAGGGTAATGTTGTTGGAGTCCCAAAGAAGAAAGACCTGACAATATCTATCCAGGACTGACAACTCTGGCCACCAGTCCTGAAGGAGCCGACACACAGGGTCTGTACAACATGGGGTTACACTCACTCAACTGTTCCACTTAGTGGAAGGGTCAAAAGGAACTGCGTAGGCTATGGAGCCAGGGGTCCTAGCTCTACTTTTGTGAAAGTGACTTAACCTCTCTTAGCCTCAGTTTCCTTATCTGTAAAAATGGGTAATTATTTCCTCTGTCTCAAATGGTCACTTTGAAATTGAAGTGAAGAAATGTGTACAGAACATGTGCATGAAAGAAATATGAAGTGAGCCAACAATGGACTTTTTAAATCCTTCAGGAGTCAACTAAAAAATAAGTGATGAGGCCATCAGGTGGTGCCGAGGTTGAAGCACTGGCTCCCTATGTCCAGCTGCAGTTAGAGCCCCAGACTTGGTGTCCTGGGGATTATGCTGGGCACGTGTGCGTGCGTGCCCAGAACCCTGAGACGAGAATGGAGGAGAGGGGACTGCGGCATGGCCATCCCTCTGGGGAGGAGTGTGATTTCTCACTTTATCTCTCTCTGTGTGTCTCTGTCTCCACTTAGAGCATGTGCCCTGTAACAAACAAAATAAATACTATTTCACATAACTTACTCTTTCTAAAAGGTTATCACACCAACATATAATCATATACAATTAGGAAGAGCTTTTGGATTTTCTTTGGTGCGTGCTATGTCTTCAAAAATCCATTATGGGTGACCAGCAGGTGGCATGGTGGTTAAGG